TCTAGGAAATGGCCACTGAATGTGGCAAAGCTTGAGCCACAAGCTCTTGGTTGGTGGTTGGATATGCTGTTACCTATCAATGATCACGAGTCATTCGTGGTTTGGCTCTATTAAATCTAAGACAAGCGAGTATGGTCTCAAATGACAGCAGCTAAGATCGAAGATGTCGCTGATGACTAAGAGGCACCTGACACGAGCCATGGTCTTCTCAATCGCCTCATGTGCAAGTGGAAGCTGGCCAACAACCAGAGAGGACAGAAGAACTGAACCATTCAAAGTATGGTGTTGGTAAGGAATAATGCAAATATCCTGGACTTTCAGAAGAAGAGACAAGTCAGTCTTAGAAGAACTGCTCCTTAGAAGCAATGATGGTGAGATGCGAGCTCACTTATTTTGGACACGTCATGAGGAAAGACCAATGTTAGAAAAGGACACCGGGGCTGGTAAAGTAGAGGTCAGCAAGAAAAGAGGGAAGCTTATGAAATGGGCTGAGCCAACAGCCACAACACGGGACCCCAGCCTACCAGTGACTGTGAAAATGGCACAGGACCAAGCACCATCCTGTTCTGTTGGACGTAAAGTCCCCGTGATTTTGAGCCTACTCAAAGACAACTAACTGCAACAACAATAAGATCTAAGAGCTAAAGGTGAATAACAACAGCATTAATGGGCTATCTTGTCTGGAAAAAAAAATGACCAAGCTACCTACATAGTAACCAGTAAGAGGAAGGACACTGGAGATTTTTTTTCCAGCATCAAAAGGAAATACGTGATTAAGTTAAAAAAAATGACTCCTTTATGAGCCATTAAGGGAAAAAAAGTCTCTGTAACTACTGCAAGTTTTGATTACTGTGATTTATCTGAACTTTTGTAATTTCCTATATTGTATAACCGTTATTATGTTGTTATGTGCTGTCGAGTTGACCCCGACTCATAGCGGCCCCTCCCTGGGTTTCCGAGGCAGTATCACTACGGAAGTAGGATTGCCCAACCTTCCTTCCGAGGAGTGGCTGGTGGGTTTGAACCGCCAGCCTTCTGGTTAGCAGTCAAGTGCCTTAGGCACTATGGTACCAGAGCTCCTATTGTATAACTAGTACATCAAAAATATTACATTAAAATCTATGCTAATAAATAAATATACCCCTTGTGCTCAAGATATGGAAAGTTAAATACCTGATATGTTGCCACATACCGCATTCATTACCAAATAAGATCAAGAAGGAATGAGAAGAATGATGGCTATGCTGGTTGTGTGTCAACTTGGCTGGGCCTGGCTGAGTGGCTGAGCAGCTGGTGGTAGTTATTCCCCATGATGAGACTGACAGTCAACTCCATGGTGGGATCTACCACAAGCAGCTGAGTAGCTGCTTTAGGAATGTGGTCTGCTTCCTGTATATACGCAGCAGCTTTGGGAATGGTCTCTAGTTTATGCCACACTTGAACCCTGCATGTAGCTGAGCCGTTGTTCAGCAGCCTGCCATGCTCTGCTGACCTTGGGACTTTAAATGGACTTGAATTAACTGCCTGCTGCATGGTTGGTAACATTGGGGCTGTGCCTTTTTACTTGTCAACCTTGGGTTTTGCAGTCTCAGCAGTCAGCAGCTGTCTGAGTGAAGAAAAGCCTCTAGCTGCAGTGGGCTGGGAGCAGGAGGCAGAGCTGAAGTCCAAGGCTGAGGGGCTTTCACCCAGCCTTGGCACTTTGAACTCAGAGCCACCAAACTGTGAGAGAATAAACTCCTGTTTGTTCAAGCCATCTTATTTGTGGTATATTCCTGTCAGAGCAGCACTAGGTAACCAAAACAGATGGCATATGGTAGAACACTGAGGTAAGGCTTAAAGACCAACCAAGATGTAAAAGTGTACTATGAAGAGGGATGAAATGACACCTGTAAAAGCTTCCATCGCATATTAAGGTCATCCAGCTGGCGAGACATCTTTAGAGACGGGTGCAAGTCAAGTGGAGACAGCTGACTGGATAAATCATTCACTGTCTTAACTTTTAAATTGATTGGTGCAATTTCTTCTCTAAATGCCTGGAAGAAAAGGACAAAAATTATGTCATCAAAATTTAATGAAAGCTAGTATTTCCTACTTTCCTTCATAGTGAAAAGGCAAGGCCAGCTAAAAGGTCATTAACTATGGTAGCCTACTCAATGACCCTAAAACCAGGTGCTGTGCAGTCAACTTTGACTCATGGCAACTCCATGTGTGTCAGAGTAGAACTGTGCTCTAAGGGGGTGTTCACTGGCTGATCTTCTGGAAGTCACCAGATCATTCTTCTGAGGAGCTGGCAGTTGGGTCTGAACCCCCAATTTTTCAGTGAACCATCTGCACGACCCAGGGACTTCTATTCAGTAGCACCCTTTAGTAACCCAGATTATCGACCAGCGACCCTTTATAGCTCAGAGAATCTGAATAAATACACAAAGAGAATAACTACTGCATACTCATTTAAATGATTAGGTATTTATGATTTTTTTTTATTATATGCAAGTCTGGAAATTTTTATCATTATTATTCATTTTACTAATTTCTAGTCTTGATTCTATCTTTAATTTTCTTTTTTTCCTTGCTATTTTAATATGTCTATCTTAATGTTTTCATTTGGAGCCACAATTTGATTTGAACATGTTTCCACATCAAGTTAGAAAGCGACCAGTGAAAGCAAGTTTCCTAATCCCAGAAACAATGCCTATTATGTATATGAGAAGTAAGGGTTGTCCCTTGCAAAACATTTATGATCCCTGTCTGTAGATGGCAGGAAGATCAGGTTCAATAGAAAAAGAGGTAAATGAGGCTTAGAACTGACAGATGGCACTTTTTTGTTTTGGACACAGAACAAAAAGATGGTATGGGAGGGGCTGAGGAGGATGCATGGGATGAGGGGAAGAAAACATCTAGCAAAATCAAAATATACTTGGGCCTAGGAAAGCTCTCTTTCTCCTCATATCCCATGTGTAGCCTAAAAATAATCTTATGACTGATGAACATCAAAACAATATTGAGCATAACTTTATTTTTAAAAAGAAAATTTATGTTTAGGTAAATCAGAGAATATGATGACTTAGTGTTTTAACATTCCTAAACATTCCCAGCAGCCACATGAAGCAGCTCAAGAGGGAGATGACCAGTGGACTGTCACAACTGTTCTGGTGCCCCAAGTCTAGGTCAGAGACATTGATGCTGGAGGTCGCAGTGCACATGGACGGCAAAGTGCGTAAGGTGAGGAATACCACCAGAGCACAGCAGACAGGGACATTGCAAAAGCAGGCAGAAGTGGGGAAGATGACCAAGGCATCCAGATTGGTGCAAGGTGGGAGGAGAAAGAATTCAGAGATGTGACAGTTTTTCTCCACAGCTGTGGTGCTGGTCTTTGCTTGAAGGAGCCCTGGTGGTGCACTGGTTAAGCACTCAGCTACTAGCCAACAGGGGGGTGGTCAAACTGTGCAGCTGGTCTACAGGATAAAGATGTGGCATTCAGCTCCTGTAAAGATTACAGCCTTGGAAACCCTATGGGGCAGTTCTACTCCACCCTATAGGGTAGCTATTAATCAGAATGGATGGCAATGGGTTTTGGTTTTTGAGGATGTGTTTACGCAAACAGGTACATAGACAATTAAGTAAGAAAAGGAGTTGCACGGCAACAGAAGCCATAGAGGCCTAAGAAACCAATAATTAATACATAACATGGGGCAGATGGAAGTGAGAAAAGAGAGATCTCAGTGTGGACTAGGCAGAGGCCTGGGTTCCCTCAAAATCAGTTTCAATTATGGAACTGAAATCTATCAAGGTTTCTCTGGCTGTGGTTTTCATCTTGTATACACTGAGATTCTCTCCATGGGTACCATGGAGTGCTCCAAAATTGTAGTCAGCTTTTAAAACCAACCACTTTGTAGTTTTTAGATGTTTAAAAACAAAATGCCAGAAAATGTTCTGAGATTTGTATGATTTTACATAATAATCAGTTTTATTTCAAAAGGAGGTAAAATGTTTTTTCTAATCAGCATGTAACTTTAGAACAGATTTTTAAAAATCTTGTAGAATAAAGGAATTTAATGTTTCCTTTATCAACATGTCTCACGATTCCAAGCCACAGGTGAAAACGTCAACAGACTTCTGATAAACAAAGTCTTTGGATTTTGTTTGTAGTTTTTAAGGTCAGGTGTTTTACAGCAATGAGGAATTTCTTATTGTGGGAAGAAAGTTCATCTCAGCTGTTGTTTTATTTTATTTTAATCTGAAATAAAAGGCTTCAAATAAATTAAGTTTTAAAATGGTTCCAGGACTGCTGCGTGTTCCACTATAAAGAACTAATTTATTGTGTTTTGGCTGTACTTTCCTATGACAGAATAAGAGACTTTGCCATGTTCCTTACAATAAAAACAGCAACATCTGCTAGCATTAAAGGTGCTGACTGGCAGCCTGTTGGCAGATGTGAATCCCAAACTCTCTCCTGCCAGAAGGTATCAATTCTGCAAATAAGAATGATGAAGGGCATCTTTAGGGAAGTTAGTATTATTTGATTACACCCAAAGATTTTGTTTTTGAGCTGCTAAATATTTATTAATATTTACCAATAACCAGTACTTATTTTCACCTAAAGAGCTCTGGTGGCGTAGTGATTAGAGCATTCAGCTGCTAACCAAAATGTCAGTGGTTCGAACCCACCGGCTGCTCCACGGGGGGACGATGACACGCAGTCTGCTTCTGCACAGAATTACACCCTTGGAAACACTATGGAGCAGTTCTGCTCTGTCCTATAGGGATGCTATGAGTTGGATCCGACTCAATGGTGGTGGATTTTTTTTTTTTTTTAATTGAACTTGCTTATAGCTTCATATTTAAAAGAACAACAATAATAATTAGCAGTCCCAGGCTGAACCCATGGTTTGAGCCTGAGTACTAACCTAAAGGCTGGCTGTCTGAAAGAAAGGTCTGTGGCTCTGTTTCCATAAAGATTACACCCAAAAACACCTTTGGAGCAGTTCTACTCTGTGATTCACAGGTTTGTCAGGAGTCAGAATGTACTCAATGGCAACGGGTTTGGCTTTTTTTGATCTAATGCTTTGGCGGAATTTGAGGTGTACTTTACAGAATAAATAAAACATTCCTGACTGGATCCATTTTGTTTGGATTAAAGAGTCTTGAGCTATTATCATCTTTTTTCCTAATAAGGTCTTAAAATATTTTAATCCACAGTTTCATTCCTCTTAAAATATTAACTGTATTTTTCCTAGCTTTCCATTTACGCAGAGATTTGAACAAAAGGATTTGGATGTACAGGTGGGTAATTCCTTTAATCAAATGGGATTAACAACTCCCAAACTTAGGCCTTTAATAACCCCAGATACAAAACATTTTATCCTTTATTATAAATTGACACTTTCAGATTGAAACGGGTAAATGCCTGCTATAATTCAAAGGCATTTTGGAAGTCCAATACAACGTAGTTTTTATAAACCATTGACTTAAAGATTTTCAGTGTTTGAAAACCATTTTTTTTTTTTTTTTAAGACTTATGCAACTTCCAAAAAAGCTGTGCTAAAAGACTATGTTTTCACTTGGTAATTTTAAACCCAGATCCATCCATGGAAATGGTTTTAAGAATACTAGGGCTGTAAGAAAAAGCCTGGGAGCTCTGGTAGCATAGTGGCTAAGGCACTTGACTGCTAACCAGAAGGCTGGTGGTTCAAACCCACCAGCCACTCCTCGGAAGGAAGATGGGGCAATCTACTTCCGTAGTGATACTGCCTTGGAAACCCAAGGAGGGGTCGCTATGAGTCAGGTCTGACTCGACAGCACATAACAACAAGAAAAAGCCTACTTAACTCATACTGTAACTGGAAACTTAACTTATGTATGTTTACATTGAAAGATGGCAGACATCAATACTTTTTCAGTAATAAATTTAAGCTCAAAAATTTAGTACTTAACTTTTAAAACTTTGAATTGGGTGAATAAAAGCATAAAGAAAAATGAAATCAATTACTGTAGAAGTCCCATATGGAAAGCCTCTTTTGTGGCAGGAAATGTGCTATCTCCCGACTTGGGAGGGTGTTGCAAGGATAGAGGCCTTATCCCAATCTCTTATAATAACTTATCCATGTGTTACGTTTGTGTTATGTTTAACAAGAAAACATTTGTTGAAATCCTTTATCAAAGGTAGTGATGCTGACCATGGTTGTTTCAATGTGATCCTGCAACGAGTCGATAAGTAAGTCCCCCACGGGCTTCCAGCAGTTTCGCACTGCCTCTGCCTCCTTCATGTCCGCATCCAGGTCATCCATCGCGCCCTGCAGGTCTCGTAGCTTCTCCAACGCCTTGTCGACTTGCTTTTGCCAATTGTTAGTAACAGCATTTAGACTTTCCCACTTCTCTCTGACTTCCGAAGACTGTTTGCGCATGGCTTTGGCAATCTTTTGGGCTCTCTCCTCAGGGGTCAATTCTATGATTTAAAAAAAAAAAAAAGAAAACACAACAGAAAAAGACTAGTTTGGATGCCTCAGGAACTCTCTTGTCCTTATAGCCAAGTGGGAACACCACCTTTTGAAGGGTTCCTAGCGGGGAACACGGGGACAGAGACATTGGTCAGGATAAGAAAAGATTCTTACCACAAATTCCCTACTGCATTTAAATGTATATTCAGGAGGAGAACAAAATAGCTACTTAGATTAATAAGCAGCACAGAGTTTTTGGTGACTTTTTAATTTTAATATATTTGCAAACCCTGAAATATAAGAAGATAACTCAAGAAATAAAACCATTTTTCTTTAACATAACTATAGTTATTAAAATCCAGTTTTTTCATTTCATTGTCCTCAAGAGAAATGGCAAGTATAATTACCAGAGAACAGCTATGAGTTATGAAGAAAAAACCCTCAGAAAAGAAGATTCATTTTTCTTTTTATACTGAACACATAACTGAAGGCAAACAAACTCTCTTGGATACTTCATCACGTCTGAATCCGTTTGGCAGTACATCTCTAATGAAGGGCATTCCCTGCAACCCCGGAAGGGTAACTCAGCCACAAACAGTTCAGCAGGACGACTGCAAGATTTCAAGGACCATTCCAAATATGTAACAGAGCAAAAGGGCTTCTAGAATGTCTGAAGTAAAGTCAGACTTGCAGACAGAAAAGGCGGGCATAACTCAAGGGAAGGTCACAGGATGAGAGCAGGATGATAAGCGTCAAAAGAGAAGCAAAGGACACAGATGGGAATCAAAGTCAAGTTCAAAGTGAAGAATCAGAAACACAGAGAGACAGGTGGGCAGACAAGGTCAGAAGAGTAGGATATAGAGCAGACCAGACAGATCTCTAGCGTCAGCAAACACCTCTGGGACCTCACTGTACTCTATACCTGAAGGTACCTTCCTTCCTATCTAGTGGGTCTCATGGCTTTCTTCTGCTTGAGCACTGAGAAATGGGAGGCCAGGCAGAGACATACAACCAGAGCAAACTGCACATCAATTAATTTCAGAGAAAAATGCATCTTTTGTAACAATGGCCCATCTTTTGGTATAAATCACATTCTCCATTTCTGCTTCACTGCAAAATGTTGCAAATCACTCCTTAAAATAGATGAACTGAGGCAAATGTCCCTAAGTAAACCAGAGCTTTCACAATCAGTGTATATCTGTCTTCCGAGATATTATTTAAATATTATTAAAAGTCAAGTTAAAGGGGACAGAAAGAACAGATAGTATTTTTCTCTACCTAAATTTCCAGAAAATTCTAGACATCAATATTTACACCTCAAAGAAGCTTAACTGTAATACATCTCTGAAACCAAATAGACTATGAGAGATCTATAATCACAGAACTCAGAGTGGTACTGTTTCAAGGGCTGGGAGACCACAGAGAAACTTGAGTCATCCCTTGGCAACTGACTTGATTAAAAGAAGACAAAGTATCAAGATTGGTAGGCACACCAAAAACACCAGTAAAAGATAAATAAGGAAAATAACCTAATTAGAGCTTCAAGCAGTGGATAAGTTGGGAAATAGTCCAGTACAACAGTCAGGAAGGGAGCCAAACCGCCTGGAGCAAAGTCCCCAAACATGCAAGGTTTTCAATGCACCTGGAACATGCCAGGATTCTAAGGTTGCTGTAAAAAACAAAAAACAAAAAACAACTTTCCATGGAAAGATATGTCATCAGAAATGCAAACCTCATTTAAATCCATATACCTTCCAGATATTTATAAAATGATTCTTGCTGTATGTCAGATAAGAAATAAAAACATTCTTTGCCTCCTTAGAGATGGGCTTGATAAGTTTCTGATGGCAACACCTGCATTTGTTAGGAAGTCACCTGGCTTTTTCAAAGATATATTTTAAGCACTCATGTTTCACTATTGTTTAAAAAAAAAAAAAAAAAAAGAGGTACCCATTTCAGAATAGACAAGTTAATTATGATTTTTGGATAAAGTAGAAACCCTTTCATACGTCAGGCATTAAATAACCTGGCTCAGCGACACCAGCTTCTTTGTCCTGTGACAAAACACTGTACACTTGTTGTGACTTTTTTTGTCTTCACTTAATGTGAAATCTTTTGACTGTGCAGTCCTTTTGTAGTATTCATTGTATAATCGCTACTCCAGCAGCTCCTCAGAAGGAAGGCTCTACCCTCGGTTCACCATCTGTTTGCCAGGAAGGAAACATTAACTAATTCCAGAGGCAGAAGAAAGGTGCTCCTACTGCAGCAACCATCTCGGCGAAGCTCAGAACACAGAGAAGCACCGAACGAAACAGACACCTTCTAGAACGTTTGTGAAACATGTAACACGGAGCAACATGTGTGATAACAAGTTATGACCATTTGGGGTAAGAAAAGAGAAAAACATTAACAGCAAAAGGGCAGTTCAGATGAAAGCAATAAAAGGAAATGATGCCCATTTTTAAAGAAAAAACCTCTCATAATCAGAACACTAAAGGGCAAAGTTTTCAAATTTTCTGAATAGATATTTCATGGCAAATTCTAAGATCATCATGCAAGTGTGGGGGATCTTCTCAAACCAGCATCTGAACTCTGGTATCTATTAAAAACTGTTCAGAGAATTGGTTTATTAATGCTCAAGCCCCACATGAATAGATTCTGATTTAGTTGGCCAAGGGTGAGACTAACCTAACCTAACCCATTGCCATCAAGTCACTTGGGACTCTCAGCAACTCTATGGGACAGGGCAGAATGACCCCACAGGGTTTCCAAGTCTGTAAATCTTTACAGAAGGAGGACTGCCTCATCTTTCTCCCATGGAACAGCTGGTGGGTTCCAACCACTGACCTTTTGGTTAGCATCCAAATGCTTGAACCACTACACCCCCAAAGCTCCTGTTAAGGGTGAGCCTAGGCATGGATATATTTGAAGAGCCCCCCAGGTGACTGTAATGTTGGCCAGGATGGACTACTGCAAGCCTACTGGTATATAAATTGATTTCTCAGGTCTGTGCTATGGAAAGATGCTCTGGTGGCACAGTGCTTAAGGCAATCAACTGCTAACCTAAAGGTCAGTGATTTGAACCCTTCAATCACTCCATGGGAGAAAGATGAGGCAGTCTTCTTCCATAAAGATTTACAGCCTTGGAGACCTTACAGGGCAGTTCTACTCTGTCCTACAGTGTCACTGTGAGTTGGAATCCACTTGATGGCAGTGGGTTTCATTTGCGGTTGTGTAAGAAGCCCTAATGGTGCAGCGGTTATGAGCTCAGCTGCAAAATGAAAAGCCAGCAGTTTGAACCCACCAGCCGCTCTGCAGGCGAAAGCTGTGGCGGTCTGCTTTAGTAAAGATTTTACAACCTCAGAAACCCTTTGGGGCAGTTATACTTTGCTCTTAACAGGGTGGTCAGTGGGTTGGAAGGATGGGTTGTTAGGTCAGTCCCTCTCAGTACAGGCCACTCATTTTGAAAGGCCAGGGAGCAAATGAAGCTCAATGATGAAGGGTAATCTAATGTGCCTGGAAAGGGCAGTAGTAAAAGTAAATCGTAGACAAAGAGGCAACCACATACATTTAGTAACAATTCTGAGATGAGAAGTGCTTCTCCTAGGCCGTTGTCCTAGTCCCCAGTGTGTGTGTGTGTATGTTCTTGCGGATGTTGGGGGAGTTCTGTTTCACTCTCTTCACCTCCCTTTAGGCCTCCACATTTAATTGGCCAAACATTAAAGCTGGAATTATATATATATGGGAGCTCTGGTAGCATAGTGGCTAAGGCACTTGACTACTAACCAGAAGGCTGGCGGTTCAAACCCACCAGCCACTCCTCGGAAGGAAGGTTGGGCAATCCTACTTCCATAGTGATACTGCCTCGGAAACTCAAGGAGGGGTTGCTATGAGTCACGGCTGACTCCACGGCAAACAACAACAACAACAACAAATATATATATATATATATATTTATAGTAAGTAGAAATTTGTTACAAAGATAGTAAAAGAAGAATGAAATCCATTCCTGTATCTTTAATTCAAATTTGTAGTAGAGTCAGAACAGGTGCATAAGTTTCTTATTTAGCCTTACTTTAGTGCGAGAAACGGCTCGAAGCCTTTTCAATGACCTAAAAGGTGCACGTGCAGCAAATAAAGGTGATGTGATGAAGAATTTGTTGCCAGTAGGGACTGGTTCAATTGTTTCAAAGTGAAGGAAAATTTACATAAGATAAAATGGCAAGTAGAAGTTGTCAGCAAGTTGGACGTCAGTAATAAAAGGTGGAAGAAGAAAAAAGATGAGAAAGAGAATGAAAAGAGCAATTCTTAACTGTTTTATCTTGTTCAACCCAAAAACCTAATCAACTGTCATCAAATCACTTCCAACTTACAGTGACCATATACCCAAAACCAAATTCTCTGCCATTGAGTTGATTCTGACTCACAGTGACTCCCATCAGGTTTTTAAGGCTGTAAATCTTTATGGAAGCAGACTGCCTCATGTTTCTCCCACAGAGTGGCTGTTGGGTTCAATGCACCAACATTTTGGTTACCAGCCAAATGCCTTGACCACTCCACCACTAGAGTTCCTTAGCGACCCTACAGGCCCTCATAGAGTTTCTAAGGCTGTAAATATTTATGGTAGCCAAATGCCACATCTTTCTCCCACAGAGAGGCTAGTGGGTTTGAACCACCAACCTTTCATTTAGCAGCCAAGCACTTTAACCATGGTGCCATCAGTGCTACTTCTTTGTTGTCCAGTTATCTTTATTTCTTCAAACTATTGTTACGTGCCACCAAGTTGCTTCCAATTCACAGAATAAAACACGGCCTGGTCCTATACCATCCTCACAATAGTTGCTCTGTTTGAGCCCGTTCTTGCAGCCACTATGTCAAACCATCTCATTGAGGTTCTTCCTCTTTTTCACTGATTCTCTATTTTACCAAGCATGATGTGCTTCAGGGGCTGGTCCCTCCTGAAGACATGTCAAAAGTATATGAGATGAGTAGTCCGGCTGTACTTCTA